AGCTCCCCCGTCGCCGGGGCCCGCCGCTGAGGCGCCGCTCTGCCGCGAGGGGCGTAGGAAGGGAGGGCGGTGCAAAATCCTTCCCAAGCAGCTTTCGATGGGGCTTTTGTTAGGTGCATTTGGCCCCTTTTACCAAAGTTTTGTGACAGCCACGTTGAAAATCCCTTTTGTGGCTTGGTTGTTACGCCTTAGTACGTCTGACTCCCTACGTTTTGTCTCCCGAGGGACCTTTAGCAGCAAACAAGGAAACCGTTAACATCACCCTGGGGAACGCAAAATAAAACGCGTTTTGCTGGTGCAGAACGGTTAAACCATGAATAAAACTCTGTGTGGCAAGCCAGCTGTATGAAATGCAGAGCCAGTGCATCTGTGCTGGGGTGTTCGTAAAACAGATGTGGCAAGGGGGGTGGAAGGAGAAATATTGTTGGAAAAGACGTTTGCAAGGGACTGTGGGATGCTGTTGTTCTCCTGCACGCTCCTTAGCATGTGCAAACCTTTTCCTCTCTTTCTCTCCTGAATTCAGAAGTATTCAGTTGCAGCCTGATATGTAACTGTGAAATGTTTTCCTGAACTGCTTTCAGGTTCCAGAACTGCGATGGGGAGGTCAAATACTTGCGTGATGCCGAAGAACTGATTCGGCCAGAGCGGAACACATTGATCATAAGCTTTGCGGATTTGGAGCAGTTCAATCAGCAGCTCTCTACCACTATTCAGGAGGAATTTTACAGGTAAAGTGTAGAGATTACCTGAAAGCTGAGCAATGCTGCAGTCTCAGGCCCGTCTTACGTGTTATGTAAAAAATAAGAGGCTTTTTGTATCCTGGAAACATTTATATTTAGGAATTTATTTTTTTTTACTGCATCAAAACTTATTTCTTAGTGGATTCCTCTCTGGAAACCATTAGTTAACTAGGCAATTGCATTTATTCTGGTAAAGAAGTAGATGGTCAGTGCAGGAATTCAGAATAAACAATATAACTTCGTGCTCTGCAAATATTTTATTGAGCCAGTGGCTTATTTTGAGGATCTACTTCTTAATATAAGGATAAAAGTGTCATAAAATGAGACTTTTAAAAGTCCATTTTCAGACAGCAAAGCAAATGGCATTATTATGCAGTAATCTCTTATTTAGCATGTTTAGATTAGCTTTTGTGTGTTCTTACATAATGTGGCAGTAAAAGCCGGAACCTGGAAATGTATGATACAAGCCTTTGATGTAGTCTAAAGTAAAGAAGGTATTTTCATAGCTTCTATAAAATTTGAACTTATTTTCTGTATTTCAGGGTTT